ATTAAATAATTATTTATTTATGTAATATTTACTTTCAATATTTGTTAACTCTATATTGACAAAAGAGTATCTCTACAATGCAAAAGTTAAAATTTTATATAATATATCTGTTTGTTCATAATTTTAAGAAACTCATCATTGTTGTAGTTCATCATTGTGCAAAGGGTTATTTTGTTGATGCAATTTTGATGCCACAAGCTGCTCTTCGACAAATCAATACATACGTACAAAACGAAATTAATTCCTACAACTATTCACGTTCAGTGTATGAGCCAAATATAGAAAGGCCAAGATACCCGCTCACACAGATCACCTGACATCCAGAAACTGCGTACTTTATTTATACTAGAAGCCACATCACGCTGTCCATCGACTTTGAAGCAGGTGTCACCTTTATATTAAGATCATTCAACTCTTGGAAGGAATTCAACATAATATATAATTAGAATTTAAAGTTTATTTAAGACTGACGTATTATATATATTAAATACAGTATTGTTAATATATGTATGAATGTCCTTTCTTGTGAATAAACGATATAGAAAGGTTACATATTACTCTAGAAAATTAATGTTATGTTATGTATGATTTATATTAAAACTTTGTAATTTCACTTTAATAAGGCTACAATTAGTTTTGAGATTATTTTAAATTTTAATACTAAATATGATATACATTTATATTGTACACAGCAGTGGAACTTTAATATTTGAGGGACTTAAATACATTTTTATTTGGGCCCCCCTATCAATCCTTCCACCATCCTCGTTGCAGAGTTCGGCGAGATTGTAGTTGCGCCAAGGATTTAACTCTTTAAAAAAAAAAAAATTGTTACATCTTACCTGTTTTTTTTTTCATTATTCAATATTACCTACTGATAAAAGTACATCTAGCTTCAATTTACATTAGTTGCATCCAACAGTTTTCATCGTCGGAAGACAAAATTGTATTTAAAAATTAATAATTCCAATTGGAATCACTCTGGCTGGAAAGGGTTGAAGATTTTGATTAGGACAATTCCAATTATCATTATAGCATATTTAGTTTGCGTATGTTTGCAAAACAGAAGTTTATAGAAGTGAATTGGTCCGTTGCGCCGACATGTGATTAAGCTTAATGGAGCTGAAAAAGATTCCTTGAAGTTTTCATTGTCCTTGCTCCTTTTATTTGCTAGGTTAAGCAACTAATTTGGCCGAACTAAATTGCCTTTTAATGTCTCACCGACGATGCGGGGAATGGAAATCATGCGCGACCATCAAAAGATGTCCCTTTGCACCTCGGTACGAGAGATGCGAACATTGAGAGGTCCTCTGCTCGCGTGCCCTTTGATTGCATGCCCTCCTTCTTCTCTGAGTCCTGCCATCCCGCAAAAGGGTTCAATTTGCGTGTATTCATCATCCAACGAAGAAACGCTCTGAAAAGCGTTACGGAAACCCAGCCGAATGGAAAAAGGAATAGCTATTAACTTTTAATCGGATTAGAACTATTTAATCTGATTTTATTTCGAATACAAACTTGATCATCATTTCTTTTAACGGAAGCTCGTTTTCAGCATGTTGTATATAAAGAAAAAACAATTAATTTTATTATCTTTGTCAAAGTTGCAAATATTACAGGAATTGTTATATATTACTACTGTTTGTAGTTGTTGCAGTTGTGATATTAATGGTGAATGTAGAAACAAATCAAGTAAACAAAAATAGGTACATTATTTCCTGGAGACACCGATCTTAGAAGCCCTAAAGTATTTTAACAAAGAAAATAAACAAAACGTATTAATATTCATGGTTAGTATTATAAATATTTTTTATTGTATTTGATTTAAGTTTGATATTTTTCTCGCTGTATTCATGTTTTGAGTACAACATTGGATGTTATCGGATTTCCGCGTATTTATTTATTTTTTCTCTATGTTTTGGATTCGTCTCGCTGTATGCATTAATCATTCCATTGCGTGTTCCTCCCGACAGCAGACAGGAACATTTTCCATTCATTTGTCAAGAGAATAAAACTAAACCAGGATTGCATAATGATTGTCAGAAAAGAATTGAAAATGAAAGCGTAACTGCGTTGATATACCACGTTACAATGGAATGGTCAGTTCCAATTTTTTTTTTCAATATCACGTTGAAATGATAAATTCCTTCACGAGGGATTGCAACAAATAATAAGTGTTTGAACTAGGCGCAAAATATTTATACAATTTAAAATTTTGATCCAAGATATTTATTACCAAATATGTATTCAATGTTTAGTTTATTTTAATTACTATTTCGAGCTACTATATGCAATTGTTGATATTTCATATAGTTTATGTATGAACACGCATCAAGCGGAGCAATTTGGCTATGAATTTGGCGATGAATCATTTTAAAACGTAATAATAAATGCATAAATCGTAGTAATAAACACATTTAATGGTTAATAAAGAGATAATGGCAATATACTGCGTGCTTCGACATATAAAAGTTTACTAAAATATAAATGATGTTCGCACAAATGTTAAACAAGCAACAACTTTCAGCAATTCAAGACCTATCATTTTTTCTTTGAGAACGATTAAAATCAGAAACATTTACATAATAAACAGTATTAATAAATTCGAATTTCATTGTTCGAAAACAATCCGTTTGATTTCGAAATTCTTTAATTAATTTTCATAAAATCACGGATCATCAAATAATAATTATAAACTGAATAGCTTTAACAATATATGAAATTAATTATTTATAGAAAATAAAAATGATCTTTTATGAAGGCTATAATAAAAATAGATTTATATAATTTAATAACAAGATTTCGCATGAACGATGAAAATTGATAATCGAAATGATTGTTCAGAACCGTTTTTTAATCGATCTTTTATTATTGTATAAGAGGAAGATATAATTTTATAACTGTAGTAAGCAGAAAAAAGCCGACATGTTTTTGTATTGTTTTTTTATGTGAGGAACACAAATAAATTGCGCGTGAGAAAATCGCAGACTGCGCTCTCAAAAAACACGTTGGAACGATGTAAAATAGTAGCGCATGAGCTTCCAACACTCTTAATAAATCAACCAGTCTGCCTCGAAGAAAGGAAGAATTAAATGTATTAATTTAGGTCATGAATATGAAAACGCAATTACTATATAAATGACGTTCGCGAATGCATATTTATTGAGAATATCAGCGATGCGAAAAGCAGAAATCTTGTTTTCGATTCTCTGAATTGGAATATTTGCTATGCCAGATGGCGTCATGCAGAAAATGACGTATATTACTTTAGCGACGCGTCTATATTGAAAACTTTACTTTGTGTGATTTCAAATGGAATAAACATGATGTCGAATACATGTCATGCAAGTAGAAAAGTACGAATACATTTGAAGAAAATTGAAACCTGTTCTAACATTTTCTTTGAAATAAAAGGAAATCTAATAATAATAATTGAAATAATAATTTATTGTATACATACAAAGGATTTTACTACTCAATTAAATCTAATTCTGTGATCTTTATTATTTATTACAAAATCAAGATATTAAATCCATAAATATAATTATGTATTTTAATGATTGAAATTATGGCATAACAAAATATAACAGTTGAATGTCAGGAAATCAGCTGATTTAAACAACTTGTTGAAATGCATATCCACTCTAGTGTCTTATTCAACTAAAATGTAAATAAGCAATCTAAAAACGTTCTGTATTACATCTTTAAAAATACATTATTTGTATCCTCTTATTATATTGTCGAGATATTTGTAAGCTACTTATATTTTCTTTTTGGCGATTTGTTAACTTTGCAAAATATTTCTTCTTCAACTGCAATCCTATTAAGCAAATTAAATGACATTCTGTTCATTTCTCGTTTCTCTATTACTAATCTGCAATGCAAAGCTTCCATCATCTTTTACTTTTTTACACGTTTTTCATTTGCGTGATTTATTATATGTATATGATTTGTGCCAAATATCTCAGCTTAACCTTTTTGTGACATTTTTATGTTAAACGTCAAGGATGTGAGGAGATACTGGTACATATATGCATTGAAAGTATCGATTAAATTTAGAGTAGATTGTAGACCTATAAAAGTAATGATCACTTATATTTTTGCACATCAAAGTGAACGTATTGTCCAACCTTTAATTAATTTCGGTATCCTTTTGTTAGGATTTCTCTACAATAACGTGATGTTCAATCAATCACAATTGTTCTATAAATTATCAATCTGTAACTATTAATAATTGGCCACTGGACAATCGCCCAGGATTTTCTTTCGACGCGATTTCATCGCGAAAAACTATCGATCAAAACATGTATCCACGAAAGTGACTTTCAAATTCGATTCAACGCGAACACTGATACAGGATATATATCGATGCATTGCGAGATTACTTCGGAAGGGAATGTCCCATCACATTGTAAATGGTTGATATGGAATGGGATGCTAGTGCAATGCTTGCAGAGACTATATATATTTGCTTGTGGAATAGTACATATTTTTACTACGTAATATTATAGTATATACCAGGGGTGGCCAAACTGTGGCTCGCGAGCCGCATGCGGCTCTTCAAGAGTCTTTTTGTGGCTAGTTGACACAAATATTATATATATTTTATATTATGATTGAGATTTAAAAAAAAAAATATACCAAAAAGTTTAGGTGCGGCTCTCAATATTTTCGGGTAGGTAACAATGGCTCTTACTGCAAAAAGTCTGGCCTCCCCTGATATATACCCTGCAAGATTTTCAGTATTGATTGTTTCGTCGCGTTCTTTACAGAATGTTACAAAAACTGAATCGCTGAATGCAAAGACTAGATATAATCTTTCTGCAGATTGGATTGATAAAAGTAATTAAATTTTAAATTTATAATTGAGTTAAGATGTTTAGCCGTCAGCTAAATCGAGTTAAATCTCTACCGAGATAATTCAATCTACCTTACTAATGCTAACTGCGATCGATCGCTTCTCTCTATTATTCAATGTCCACTGTACTTTTCATTTGTTTCAGGTACCTTCAGCTTGGAAGTGCTCGAAATCCGAGATCCAGTTCGCAATTAGAATTCTACTAGTCATCTGCACTTCGATATATTCAACAACCGATTGTTTTTAATCAAGTATTTTCATTGTGGATTTCATCGGGGGGCGGCAACTGATGGACCTCGATTGTGAGTCCGTCGAGGCCGTAATGAAATCTGACGACGAGATGACTCGTGACAGGTCTTCGGGGACGGCAGCAGCCACCGTCGCAGCCGCCGCCGCAAACCACAGCCATTTCACAAGTGAGTCTCTACCTCACCCACACATTTCTCGCATCAACGTACCCCATTAACATGGACGATTCTTTCTGTGTTTAATGCATATATATATATACACAAACGCACACAGAACCATAGCCATCATCATCATCCTCATGTGTGGTCTCACACTATTATTCCTGGATCTCGTCTTTCGCTGGGGACGAAGGGAGTGCAGTAACGGACACACACAAATGTCGAGATCTCGCACGTTTCGAATTCCCCGGAAGCCACCCTACGGCCGAGTGGAATGCGAAATTTGATTCGCCTCCCTTTCCGCAGAAAGAATAAAATTACTCTTCAAAAAATATAAAAGGAAAATGCGGCAAGTGAATGCTGACTTCATAAGGAATTATTTAGAGGTACACTCTCCATCGTTCACCATCACCTGAATCCCAATATGTTCGAATCATGTATTTATTTATTATTAACTTCAATTTAGGTATATACTATATTTACGCTTTCTATAAACATAGAAGGTATTTTAATATGTTGTAACACGTCAGATTGAAGATATGCTTCTTACTGCCACTAGAGCACTACGTTTCTTCTGCTCTCCTTTAGAGCAGTGTCTACTAAACTGTGTGCCGCGAGTGTGTCGCAAAAGTAATTAATTATAGGTAAAATATTTGATCTTATAGTTTATTTTGTTGGTATTTTTATTTGGTGTGCCGCAAAATAAATTATCCATCCATTTGGCCTAAAATATAAAAATATTGATTTTAAGAGTGTTATTTTTTCATTTTCATTTTGAATTATGAATAGTTCTCGTTGCACGCATTAGGTATGTCGCCAGAAAATGAAGAGGGATTTATTGCTTCGGTCGAAGACGCAATTTCACCGTGGTTGGCCCCTTCGGTCCTTCCGCGCGAAAAAAACTTGAGTTGATATTGTTATTATTCGAGGAATAATTTCCAGTCGGTGGGACACCGTAACTCATTCCAAATTAAACCTACCGCCCTCCCGTCGCGTAGATTTGTTAGCGGGATGCGCAACCCTCGACATAGAAAAAAATAACTAGAGAGAGGGAGAGAAAAAACTATGTTTATTTTGTTTTCTGCGTTAATTACAATTTAGTTGCAATTTAAATTCGCACAGCGAATGTTATGTAAATGGAATCAAACATGGAAAGAAATGTGGAAAGGATGGATGACCTCAAAGAAACCATATAGGTAGGGATCTCTCACATAAAACGCAGATTTGTTCACATTATTCGCTTTATTTTATTTTTGTATCTTCTAATTAACTGCCGAATTTAAAATTTAAATTGTACCAAGGTCCTGATTAACAAATAGCAATTTTGCATACTGAATCACAGCGAAAATACAGGAAGATGATGATTTTTTAGTTGGAAGTTGTGGAACGGACGGATCAAGTTTGAATTGATTGCTTCGACCTAACGTGAAGGCTGTTAAAAGTTCAACGAAGTATTGAATTCATTCTACAGGGCTTGTGGAATGGAAATTTGGTATATCCGAGCTCGATAATCTTGAAGATAATTAAAGTTAATATTTCGAGCGACCGAGGGTTTTTCATAACAAAAGAGAAATGAATCGGATCCCACGGGGGAAAGCTCACAAATTAAGGGCTTATAGGGCCTGGCTTTCCGAAACTGGGATTTCATTAATTGCGCAGCATTTAAATCAAGGTCATTTTCGTTATCATCATTTAATATATGTACTTTGTTAATATTAGTCCACTTATTGAAACAAATTTATATTAATCAAAAAATGCAGATCATATTCGCATGTGTGATTTGCTACATCAGCAACAATATTCATGGATCGAAGATCACTTATTCCTATTTAATATTTCCAATGCGATTCACAAGCCTATCAATCATTGCAATTATAATGCATAGGCTTCATTAACGCTGTTATAGGTATGTACACAATTAATATCTAAAATAATGAAACAATTCAAGTCTCCAATATTGATTATAATTGATTATAATGGTGCAACAAACTAGAAACTGTCATCTATTTGAGAAAATGTCACAAGCTCAGGTCTATATGTAAATAATTACGTGTCATATTTGTGTATCGATTCAATACTTCCCTAGTTAGACGACATTTTAGTTTTTGACGTGTTTCACGAATTTGGCGACATTTATCACAGTAACATAAATTAAATCCGGTTGCGTCCCACTGAATATGTACGTGTATTGGATTTGCGGCTACGTTTATACGAGCAATGTAATAGACAAATTATGTGTGGTCTCATCGATTGTATCCCAAACATGGATATTTACAGTATACTCCTATTATCGTTAACAAACAAATGTAAACTTTTTATTACTAATTGATTTTATTTACGGATAAGTTTAAATAGTAAGATATGATAATTACTCATCATATCTTACTATTTAAACTTATCTTACTTATAGTTATAAACTTATAGTTTAAATTGCGCATCTTAAAGTATACAAGTTATAATTATATATATATATAATGAAAACATTAATATTAATAAAACACTAATCAATCATTAATTGACTATATTTTAAAATATAAGTATTTAATCAATAATAATGAACAATTATTAATATTATTTTTTCAGTTTTTGTACATTACTTTTACTAGTTAGCTGTTTATTTTATTTTTATACCATTATGTAGCTGATTATTAAGTTAGTGGCCTTTTTTTAATAATAATTTAGGTCTATTTATGTGTACTGTTCATTATATTTAATCATACAATTGATTCAAACACCAACTCTATTATAAATAATATATAGCATAAAATAATGTAGTCATGACACAGTTCAATACATCAATCAGTGTGCAAACAAGCGACGCATTTTATAAATAAACTTCCCTTCGTTGTATGTATTCTTTTTTTGTTTGGAATAAAGGGTAACTTTATTATTTTCTCTTTTTTCCAATTCACATGCTGCTATAATGGTTTCAATGGTCAATTAAATTACTTTATATAATGAATTTTCGTTTAATATGATGAACTAATATTTAAAATTTTACACAAGTTAATTAAAATTTATATGGAATTTGTTGACACATATTTCGTTTGACATTTCAGCTGGCGCAATGTTTTGTTACGGAAATCTTTTTGTTGTTTTCATTAGAATACTTTGCAACTTTGAAGACATGAACATTTTTAATTATAAATCCCAATAACGCAGATAATGTAATTATCTCGTTTCGTGTGGCTGCGATGAACATGCATGTTTGTGCATGTGTTTGTTCGTAGGACGGGTATTATTGATAGGCCCTGCGGGCCCTTTTTGGTGGTTAATTATAATCCCGTGGATTGCGATTTCAATGCGAACCATCCCCGATAATTAGCGAACCCGAATCAGAAATTCGCATCCAACCGTCTATTTGCAAGACCGTATCTTATACATCGATCCATATGCCTTCAACATGCATACGCATTTCGAAGTAAAGATTAGAAATAATGGTGAAATACGTGCAGAATATGTAAGATATTTCCTGTACGGAAATGTAGGCTGCAATGTTTGAAGAAAATAATTCAATCGTTATAAAAAAAATAACTTCATCATTGGTTTACTAGTCAGATGATCTTGTTTTGACAACGTTTCTTGAAAACAGCAGAAAACGTTGATTATTTTTGAGTGAAATTTTGTGTGAAACAAAATTACGTGGAATTATGTAAAAGTTTATTATATTCACAGAAATTAAAAAAAAAATACTTTTTCAGTAATACAATAATAACAATAACATATTGTAAACTGTTATCAAATATATTTGTTTGTGAATGTAGTGAAGGAATTCACATTAGATGATTTGTTTTAAGCCAATTAAGTTCATTTACAGTAGTACAAACTCGTTTCATAGTTTCCTGTTTCATGGCAAATTAACCTCGAGATAAGCATAATTACTTTTAATATTCTTCTGGCGTGGTAATTGGAGTTTTAATCGCTATTTACTAAATGTGGGCACACATTTCAAAAGGAAGCATGCGAAAAAAAAATAATTAAAAAACAAGTAGAAAGTCGACCAACATCACAGATATCATGTCATGCTATATTTTTGTGAAGACGAAAGTTTTCGAAAGTTATTAAAGGTGATGTTTATATGGAAAGTTGAGCCGCGATGAACGGGGTGGTTGGGTGTGCGTCTGTCACTTAGGATGTGGGGCTGCATAAATCGGGCGTGTGAAATGTAGTCTAATGGTCGGACGTTTTACGACCGAGCCGAGAATATTTTCTTCCTTCCAAACTGCACTCCAAGGAATATTTTGCCACATTTCCTTTAAATTCCCTTTTTCTTTCTTGTCTTCCTCCCACGTGCACTACTACATATTGGAGCATGCAAATTACGTGAATATATTTTAAACTATTAACCATTATTCTTCAATTAATGTACGCAATTTCATACAAGTCCCAAATATTGAAATCCATTTATGAAACAATATTTAATTTAACTTAAATTAATGAAACTGAATTTTGAAATGTACACTGAGGTCTGTTAATCAATTCGAGTCGAATTATTCAGAAACTTTTACAACAGTTAAATTAAATCTCTCGTACATTGCAAACTTGTAATGAGTTTGCTATAAACTTGTTATTGGTTGTATAAATTTTAAGGTCTATAACATAAAACTACAACATGTAAATGCCATATAATATAAAATATGAGACTGTATTTGATTAAATTGTATTTAATTAATAACAACAAAATGTTATATAAATATAATTTTATTTTGAAACTAAATGGTTTGGACCTCCATTTCTGATTTTCTTTCGTTCTTCCATGCAAGAAAATAAGATTCATGCCCTTTTATTTTTCATTCCCGAATGGCCTGGGCAGATTAAAAATGTAAAAATCGGCAATATCGCAAGTGTCACGAATATTTTTTAGTCCCGCAGTGGCACGTGTCGCGTGCGCCCTAGTCTTCCATGAAACTTTTATGAAAAAAAAGGGCCCTTAGCGATATTGCTCTCAGGCTGCAGAATTTTTAATACCCCATAGAAGCATTAGAAAACAATGAAAGCGCGTGGTTACC